ACAGGGGCTGCTGATGGGCCCACGGGGAGCCCCCTCACATCCCGACCACACGGTTAAGACTCTGGACAGTGTCGCAGGGGCTGTCCTGGGCGGAGCCTTCACTTGCCACCCTGAGTCAGCTGGCCCCTCACCTCCAAGGCCTCCCCAGGCTCCCTGTCCTTCCTTCCTGCCTTCTCATCCGCGTCTCGCTCCACAAGGTGGTCCCTCCAGGGGCATTTCCTCACCAGCTGGAGCAGTACCCCCAGGTCTCCTGTTTAGGGCTAGGATGCCCAGTTCTGCCGCAGCCCCGCCCCTATCCCAACCTGCCCCCCCTTGGAATGTTCCAGAAACTTCAGACAAGCGAGCTGGTGCTCAGAGGAAGACAAAGACCGCTGTCTGGACCGGGGGCGTGTACGTGTACATTGTAATATCGTATTAGGAATCTGAATCTCTCAGGAAAGAAAACTAGACTCTATGTATAAAACTTAAAAATATTCAAGTATCCAAAAAGATTGCTTGGATCCTAGTTCTAAGCAGCAGGCTGGCGGCAAGCAGCTGCCACAGGAAGGGCCACTGCCGAAGTGGACGGGGTGCGGCCGGTGGGGTGATGGGGCTGGGGGTGGGGGGAAGGTGCGGAATCTGTATGGGGGCAGCGAGGACACTTCAGTTTTGGGGGAGTGAGCGCGAGTTGCCGGAAGACCACCCTCCCCAGAGCATGAGCCCCGAAGGGCACAGTTGAGACCACCCCCTCCGATGTCCAGTCCTCGGGCCCCACGAAATTCCCACCTGCAACTGCCCCTGACAGCCATTTGGCCATTTCTCCCAAGAACCTTCTGGAAGGAGAAGGGAGGGGTGCGGAGAGGCCAGGGGCTCCACAGTGTTGACTGACCTCTACAGCCCACCCCCACCCCAGGGCTCCTGGGGCCCCACCCGCCCAGGAGACACTGGCTGTAGTCCCATTAGAAAGCAACAGCAGTGTTTCATTAAGACTCAAGAGTGGAGGCATTGGGCCGTGTCGCCCTGTCCCCGGAAAGGGTGCATCTTGAGGAATCCAGCAGAAACGTTTAAAACTCTGGATACATTAAGCTTGACGAAAACCACCACTGTGGCCTGTGGCTGAGGCGCACTGGTGTGGGGCGCCCTCCGCTGGACGGCTGGAGAACCACAGCTGGGAGGCCAGCCCAGTCCTGCCCAGGCCCAGGCCCCGGGCCACCTTTGGCTTGGGGTAGCAGTCTCTGGGCAGACGGCCAGGCACTGGGAGGAAGGTTCGGCTCCCACTCTGTGGAGGGTGTGTCCAGCCAGGGGCCTGCCCGCCCATCATGGCCTTAGACTTCAGTGGAGAAGAGGATGCTCTGTCTCTTACTGTCTGGGGCAGGGATGGTATCCAGCTGCAGGAAGTACAGCAACACCTGGACCTGTGGGGGACAGGTGGAGGGAGGGGCGGAGGAGCCACTCAGGGAGGTGTTTGAGGTTGCCACGGAGTGGGGGGCCCGCCAGCTGTGGGTGTGAAGCATGGTGCAGGTTACCCGGCCCCAACCCCCTCCCCTGCCCCCATCCCTTGGTCCGCCCCCTGCAAACCCAGTGTGGGTGCAGTGAGTGGGCGTGCACACCTGAGACATGACCTCCAGGGACCAGCTGTCGCTCATGGAGATGGGCTGGCCGGGCGTGGCGGGGACTTTGCTCTCCTTCTCCGAGGGCCGGAGCAGCGTGGGGCCAAAGACGGTGGCCAGGTTGTGTAGCGACATCTTGTTCACCGTCTCCTTCTCGGCCACCCTGCAGCGAACATGAGCAGTGGCTGCTATCCCCCCTTCCTGCCACAGCCATGCTGAAGATCCCAGCGTCCCAGAGGACCCGGGGCTCAGG